GGATGGATGGATGGATGGATGGATGGATGGATGGATGGTTTTAGGATCAGTGTATTTTTGTCTTGTAATTTTGGTTCTGGTCATCATCAGATGTTATTACTCTCTGAAAACTGTTTTTCACCTTTAAAACTGATTTGTTTTTAAGTTCTGTTATTTGATAAGAACCTCAGCTTGTCTGAATGAAGAAGGGTAATTATCCAATCTGTTTGTCTGCAGAACCTCACACAGCACAGACAAGATGAGGCTTCTTCTTGTCTGTGTTTTCTGTCTGATGGCTCCTACAGCATACAGCCAAGTCCAGTGTCCTTGTCCTGAATGTATAAAAGGAGATACATCAATACCTGGTTGCAGTGAACTATCAGGACCACCAGGACAGGAAGGATCGCAAGGAATGCCAGGACCACGAAAACCACGAGAACTGCCAGGACCAAAGGGATCAGCAGGACCACCTGGACCAGTAGGTCCACCAGGTCCAGCAGGTTCACAAGGTCCAGCAGGTCCACCAGGTCCAGCAGGTCTAACAGGTTTTCCAGGTCCACGAGGTCCACCAGGTCCAGTAGGTCTAAAAGGTTTTCCAGGTCCACGAGGTCCAGCAGGTCCAGCAGGTCCAACAGGTCCARCAGGTCCACCAAGTACACCAGGTAATGGATTGCTTATCTTCATCCATCCTCCATTATCCTCCACTTTATCTGATGTTGGGTTGAGGGGGCAGCACCTTGATCAGAGAAGCCCAGACCTCTTTTCCCAGCCACCTCTTCCAGCTCCAAGGTGTTCCAGTCTCTCCAGTGTGTCCTGGGGTTTCCTCAGGGTCCAGGAGGCATCCTTACCAGATGTCCATACCACCTCAACTGGCTCCTCCGGATGTGGAGGAGCAGTAGCTCTACTCTGAGTGTCTCCTGGATAACTGAACTTCTTACCCTATCTCTAACGGAGAGTCCAGCTACCCTGCAGAGAAAACTCATTTTGACTTCTTGTATCCCATAAGTGAGGGTAGGAACGTAGACTGACTTGTAAACAGAGAGCTTTRCCTTACATCTCAGCTYCCTCTTCMCCACAYYAGACCGGTACAGAGTCTGTAAAACTGTGGAAGCTGCACTGATCCATCTGTCAATCTCACACTTCATTCTTCCCCCACTGTGAACAAGAACCTGAGATACGTGAACTCCTCCACTTGAGGCAGAACGTCACCCCAACCTGGAGAGAGCAATCCTCCCTTCTTTGACTGAGGACCATGGACTCAGATTTGGAGGTGCTGATCCTCATCCCAGCCGCTTCACACTCAGCTGTGAACCGCTCCAGTGAGAGCTGAAGATCCTGGTACGATGAYGCCAACAGAACCACATCATCTGCAACCAGCAGAGATGAAATCCTGAGGCCACCGATCTGGACTCCCTCCGCCCCCTGTCTACACCAAGAAATTCTGTCCATGTAAGTTATGAACAGAATCTGTGACAACGTGCAGCCCTGGTGGAGTCTAAACTCCCACTCTGAAGGGGTCTGACTTATGAACCAAACTCTCACTGCTTGTACAGAGACTGAACGGCCCGTAACAACAGACCCACAATCCCATTCTCATGTAGCACCCCCACAGAGTACCTCGAGGAACACGGTCGAATGACTTCTCCAAGTCCACAAATCACATGTAGACTGGATTAGCAATGACCCCTTGAGGACCCTAGTTTAGTTTAGTTTATTCATTTCTTTAAAAACAACAAAATAAATTCAACAACAAACAACAAAAACACAACTCACAAATTAAATGAAAGGTAGTAGAAGAAGAAAAAAATCTTATTATATCTGCCCCTTTTTCTCAAATAAATAAATTCAATCAAAAATAATCTACAGTTTACAAAAAACAAAAAAGAAAAAGGAAAAATAATAAAAAATAATAAAGGAAAAATAATAAAAGTTTAACTCCTTAAACAACAATTCATACATTTACATATTTCTCCAGAGAGGGGGCTCCAAGACAGAATTTACATWAAAAAACACAACAAAATGGTCGCTAATTTGCAAGTCTTCAACACACACATTATTTAGATTCAAACCCAGAGAACAAACCAAATCCAACATGAGACCACGCTGGTGAGTTGGGCCTGAAACGTTGAATAAAGTTAAAACAGTCCAGAATGGAGATGAAATCACRGGTCTYGCTGCAGTYTGCATCATCAAAATGAAWGTTAAAGTCAACAAGCAGTAAAAGGCCGTCCAGTTTAAWGACAGAGGATAAAAAATCAGTGAATTCTTTAAGAAAGTTTGTAGCTGGTCCAGGAGGGCGATAAATCAGGACACAGTAAAAAGGAGACAAAGAACCGACCTTAATAGTCGGTGATTCAAAGGATGAAAAAGTCCTTGTGTTTACTGGTCAGCAAGAGAAGCTGTCCAGCCGAGGCGTCCCGACCACCGCGTCGGTCCAGCCGAGGCGTCCCGACCACCGCCTCGGTCCAGCCGAGGCGTCCCGACCACCGCGTCGGTCCAGCCGAGGCGTCCCGACCACCGCCTCGGTCCAGCCGAGGCGTCCCGACCACCGCGTCGGTCCAGCCGAGGCGTCCCGACCACCGTGTCGGTCCAGCCGAGGCGTCCCGACCACCGCGTCGGTCCAGCCGAGGCGTGCCGACCACCGCGTCGCCAGGAGAGCCAAGTACATTTAGGTGGAAGTGATCATCTTTCTTCTGCCAGGTTTCCACCAGGAACATTAAATCCAGATGTTTGGAGTGGAACAGGTCATTCAGCAGAAGAGCCTTGTCGTTCTGAGCCAGAAAGCACAGAGTACACAAAACTATCTTCACTTCAAAATAAGAGCATGGATTTTAAAGTTTTCCATACTTTTACTGTCGCTCCAGTTGACCATTGGATGTCAGTTTTCATCAGCATAACATCTTTAAATCATTTCTGCAATGTTAATGTGAAGGTTTTTCTAGTTTATCTGAATTTAAACATGCCATGCGACAATATTTTTTATTGTTACTTGGAAATAAAATGTAGTTATTAAGACATGTAAATAGTTGTAACAAGTATAAAATAAAACCTTAAATACTTATTAAATAATAAGTTCTTCATCTACTGGGATGCTCACGTTAGTTTTTTTGTGTTGTCAGACTCATTTCCAAAAACAGTTTGCTATTAGGTMTGCACTTCAGCAAATAAACARSAAAGAAAAAAGTTTTCAGCAACTTTATTGGGTACAAAACAGCCACAAACTCAAAAAGCTTTGTGAATGAACAAAAAGAAATAAACATTTCCAGCTACTATTTTGCTGTTTTACTGAAAACACATCAACTCAAAACGCGTGGCCATGAGTAAATAAACAAAATGTGACAAAAATAAAAAGGTATATAAACAAAATGCTTATTAAGGCATAAGAAAAAGGGAAAAACCTTTTTAATCACTTAAGTATCTCAACAGTTTTATTCCCTGCCCTTCTTCAACTTCAGCTGCTCTGTTCTGTGCTCRTCTCCTCCGTATGGTGGCCTCTGATAAAAGTCAGCTCTTCAAAACTGGTGTCAGACCAGCTGGCTCTCTTGGTCCTCAACAAGTCTTTTCCCATGGAGAACAGGTGTTCATCTGCTGCWCTGGAGGGGATGGCTGGGTTATCTTTGGTGTAATCTTCCCCATTACATTTCTCCTTTTTCTTCTCTTTTTCTTCTTCTCTTAAAAAAATCCATGAGATTGCTCAATACGTCTGTATACTAGCAATGAGTTAATTTGTGTGAATTATGGACAAAATTTCAAATAAGTCACGTTATTAAGTAATACAACAACCTAATTTGGCCTAGTTTAGGGCCTTTGATTAAGTTACATAAGACATAAATTTACCAACTGTCCTTGTTTTCCAGGACCATGGGGACAAAAGGGAGAAGTGGGACCCCCAGGATTCCCAGGAATCCAAGGATTCCCAGGACCCCCAGGACCAGTTGCTATGTGTGGACCAGGTGTTTATTATTTATGTGATTTTAAAATGAATTTACTGAAATTATTTAAATAATAATAATTCAGTCCCTTTTTAAAACGTGTCAGTGTKTCTTTGTTAAGAAACAAGTTATTTTTTATTTAATTGTGTTTAAAATGATGTTCAATGATCATAGATTTTACACAATGGGTTAAGTTGTATGAACTTAAATTATTCATTGTAAACTATTTGCTCAGCTGTGATTTCTGTGACTTACAACTAAATGATCTTTTCTAATTGAACTTATCCTGTTTTATCTAGATGTGTTTGGTTTTATGAAACGTGACATTGAAACAGTGAAGATGACGACTGCAAAGTTGGAGCTGGGTGAGTGTTCATGGGTTCAACTGTGATCAACGTGACCTGAAGAAGTTCAATAAAGTGGATTGTTGTATTGATGCATCCTGGACACAGTGATTTCAAATGTTGTTTTATAAACATTGACACTGTCATCATTTTATAATATGCTGTTATTTACAGAGAATTATATTTTAAAGTTTAAATCAGTGAGGAGCAGCACTTTCAGCAGGAGTTTTATAAAAATTTGAAATAATCTCATACCAGCAAACTAACGGTAATGAAGAGTTTTTCTAAAGAAAATGTGTTTGTATGAACCATTATGAAATTTTAACTATAGGTGTGTGTGTGTGTGTGTGTGTGTGTGTGTGTGTGTGTGTGTGTGTGTG